GCAAGGAGGAAGAGGAGATGCAGTGAGTGGCCCAGATCTGTGTCTGCAGCGAGGGAGGAAGTGTCTCATCTGCAGCGTGGCAGCCGCAGCCTCTCCGCTCAGAGGAAATGTCAAGGCTGTCAGTCTGTATAAGCCCTCAGGAGAGCAGCCACTGAGAGCTTCTCTGTGTTTACACTTTACGGATGCACCAAGGTGACGCATGGGAGCGAGTCGCACAAGCATCAGTTCATTTGATCATGCATTCTCTCCGCACGCACACATGCATGCACAGCTGCAGGAGTCATACTCACTCTTTTGTTCACAATCACACTCACTCATCACCTCAGAGTGGATGTTTTCCTGCACACCTCGTCCAGTCACAGTGAGTCGGCCTGACACACTGTGATGTGCTGCGCTGGGCTCTGCTGTGTATGCAGCTGCATCGATTCTGTGCAGCGCTCGGGCTAATGCATTTAGAAGCAATAGGGAACGTGAACACCATTTAGACACCATTGATCGAGGCCCCACCTGGGGCCAGACTAATAGAGCATGTCTGGGATAATCAACCAAAGCTATAGACAGGCAGCTCTGCCTGCTGTGTGTAATGCTGGACCACGCCCGGTCTCTGAATCTTAATAAGCTGGCTCTGCTTTTATGCATCAGTTTGATGGTGTAATTAGTGGTCATACAACTGTTTAACGGACTTTTATTCCACAGGATCTGATGTAATTATCATTTATGCAACAAGAGAGATAGCGCTGACATTATAGGAGGAGAACAACATTTTGAGCTGTTTTTATGCTTCTCTGTAGCCAACACGACATGTCTGCTCTTCTTACATCGAAGCGTTGGCTCGTGTGCTCCCTTTTATTTCTCAGCACTTTGTGTCTTTGTTCAGAAAAGTACCATAAAAAGTTAGTTCCTGCTTTCCTGCCAATTCCGGACACAGAACAGCACTTATCTGTAAACACTTTGCACAAAGAGGACATGACTGGTGAGACACTCTGAGGCCTGAGCTGCTGCGTGAAAAACATTGTAATATATTTGCTTACAGTGTAAGTGAACGACTTATATAATCCACTACTTTGCTTAAACACGTTAAAACAAAACAAGAGATCATTTCACACATTTCCAATAAAGCAAATTCTTGGATGCTTTGAATACATGCCGCCACATTTCTTTTTCATGTCAAGTTGCAAATGTCCGAACTTTAATCCACTGGCTGCCTAAAGGGGATTCACAGATCCACATTAGATAAGAATCGGGGAGATTCCCGTCAGGAAGGATCACAAACACAGAAACCATCGTCCAGAGAGACATCAATGCTATATTTAGCTAATGTGGCACATTGCAGCTGTCCAGTAGAAACCATGTATCTCCAAAATAGGTGATTTTGGTAAACTGGAGGATTGAGTTGCTTTTTAAGACAGAAAGACCATTTAGAAAACAAGCTGGATTATCTGAAAAAAAACATTATGTAACTAAAAAAAAAAAAAGGGTTGTTTTTCTTATGTTGTGAAAAGTTTGCATTTCGGAGATGCATGGTGATTAAAGAACAATGACAATATGTTGGAAAATATCATCACATGGCAGATTTTGTCTCTTTTGGACTCCATACTAAACTTGTTTGTGAAGATTTTTTTTTAGCAGTACTACCACCTATGAAAGTAACAGTGTGCGGGTAATGAATACCATTATGCCCCAGCAGTGCATTATGGTTGTTGTTTTGTCATGACCATCCACAGAAAATCTACCTAAAAATCAAACCTTATTTAGTTTCAGGTTTGCAGGCGGCTTCAGTTTCGTCCATATGACACTGTGCTGTTGATAGCTGTATTATATTACACTCTGAAGTCACATCCTGTGAGCTAACACACACACACACACATATGGCCCCTGATCCTCAAAACGTGGCTGCTCATACCTCATGTGCTTGTCATCGCCATATGTGGATAAAACAACACCAGTGGTGAGCATTTGTGTTTGATGACCTCTGACACAGCAGCAGAGCAGGGACAAATGTTGCATATTTTACAGGGTGCAGCAAACTCGTGTTCGCTCTTTATGTGTTATCATTCGATCGGCTGACAGCTGAGACAGTCCGCACTCAACAATAAGACCACAAACAATCTACAGAGATATGGTTTGGACAGGAAACCATAATAATGATGCAAACATGCAGCACACAAACATGCCTTTCCTGTTTGTATCTGTAGCGGTGGATACGGTGGATATTTCTCAGCGTATGAAGATAATGGTCAGGTGTTAACGCGCGGTCGACGGAGATGGAGCTCCTGGGTGGCTGGTTGCCGTGGAAATCCACAGCGGACTCAGGGTTTGTGAGTTTCAGCGAGCGAGAGAAAGATAATTGACTGTTAATCAAGCCAGTTTCAAAGACATGCCTGTAGTGGAGACACAAGGCAGCAGGAGAGACAGATGGTGAAATATATCTAAATAACATCATAATCTCCCGAGCACTCGAAACACGCCAACAGGACAGGCTGATGACGAGCGCTCGCCAGGGAGAAACACTCCACCAGGATAACAGGCATCCGACCGCCCAACCCTAGGAAGTGACTCAGCAGCAGCTGTTGCCATGGGTTACCACGCCAGGCAGGACAGCCGTAGGATCCCAACAAGCTTGGTGCTGACACATCTGACAAAAAAAAAAAAAATCCTCCCCCCATGGACAGCGGCTCCACCCCATCTGCTGCTCCACCTTAAATCCTCTGCCACTTTCTCGAAGGGGCTCTGCTGCAGGCCCTGCGTGGAGCCATGCAGCATGGCAGAGGAGAGGTGGGAGGGGTGGAGGGTGGGGGAGAAATGGGAGACGGGAGGTGTTAATCCCATCTGAGGGAGGACCTGCAAGGTTTTGGCCTCGTCGCCCTGCACCAGCCTACTAACTTCCACATCTTCCATCTACCCCCCCTCCTCCATGCAGATTAATGCCTTATTAAGAGCAACTGACTTAACACCAATCCACTTACACTAACATGTTAAGATTTGCAGACTATTACGTGGGCTGAGATCAATCACACCGTCGACCCAGGTAGAAACTCTCTTAATCACGTCTCAGATTTGAAGATACGTTTCATGCATGAACATAGAATCACAGGAAACAACATCTGTCACAAACATGCGTCTGAAATGTCGAGTCATGTCTCACATGCTCAAATTCCTAGCTGTTAGCTTTAGCATTCAAAATGGATCATCTCTGCACCCATGCTGACTAAACCAATGAGGGATTTCCTCCTTAAAAGCCCCTTCACGTTTGACTTGAATGAAATGACAGTACAATTACATGCAGGTAGCCATTTAAAGGAAATGTCAGCCTCATCATGCTAATGACATTAAGGCTTTGGAGGCAGTGGCTAATTTAGGACAAAGGCGGTTCAGGACGAAGGCCTGAGTAAATCTCCCACTGAGGCTACGCCCGATTCTGGGTCATGGCACGCTGTCCCATAAGCCACTGCTCACCTATGCATCAAATCAGCTGGTGAGACATGTGCAATGTTACTGATACACCTTTGTTCCTCTGTTGCTTTTGTAGTACAAGTCCTTTAAAGTAGAAGGATACAGTAAAGAAATATGCTCTATCATGCATTTATATTACAAGATATATTATATTATACTACAAGAGTCCTTCTGCCTTCTTCAGTTTAGCTCATAAAAGCCTGAAGTTTCTAAATTAGGCACTGTCTACTTCCTGGATTGCAGGATAATTTTGTTCCGTGGTTTGAGCTTCTCTGCAATAATCACTGGCTTTAAAAGTGAACTTTGTGCTGACATCTTCAAGAAAAGACCTCCATGACAGGTGGTTTAACAACTTTCATTTCCATTCCCCTCCGCACACACACACACAATTTATCTCCTGTGCCGGTAAATCCCTGCGCGGCTCACTGTGGTCACGTTTAAGCCTTTCAGTCGAGCACAGCCTCATCCCTTAAGTAATGCTAAAGGATTGTTTGGCATCTGAGTGTCAGATAGTGTGAAAAGTGGGTTAGACTAAGACGAGCAGTGCGAGTGTAAGCTGCAACAATATTACACAGACGTTTAAAGGCGTGTAAAATGAGGCTAACTGCATCTTTAAAGTGCGGATTGTGATAATAGCGCATCAGCGTTGGTTCAGTGAGAAGCCGAAGCGTGGATAAATGTCTCGAGGCAGAACACTTCTTTAGTAACAAATTCTTTTTTATTACAACATTTCACGGTTTTCCATTTCTGGTAATGGTTTGTGGCAGAGTAATATGACTGCTGGGACTTTACAAAACTCCAAAGAATTTTGATCTACGGTTGAAAGCAAACACATGGAATCAATTGCCAGTATTTTTTTTTTGTTTTTCCTCATTTGAGACAATTCAGAGACGGATTGCAACACAAAAGCTATCCCGAATAACTCTGACAAAAAGCCAAAGTATGTTACAATTAAACCGTAAATAAAGGTCCATTTGAGTATCTCCCAGATCAAGGTGGAATCCGTTACACTTTTTTTTTTAATCCTCGTGTACATACAAAAGAAAAAACATTGTGACAGACAACAGTATCAATTTTTGGGGCATTTACATTTTGGCCAGCGTACAAACAAAGTTGTGCATTTACCGAAAATTAGAAGACGAAAAAACAATAAAAACGAAAAATAATAAGCTTGACGCCTCAGCTTTGGCGCAAAAGCAGCCACACAGGAAGTTGGGTGTTGGTGGTTTTGGGGAGACGATGATGAGCTTCCTGGGACAGAGGCCACGCCCCGTCCCTCGGGCCTCTCCGCTGCACGTCGATTTTGGTGGTGAAGGTGTTAAAGAAGAGGCGTGCACCTTGAGGACTGTCTTCTGCAGTCCCCTGCTCCTCCTCCCCTGCTTCCGTCTCTAGGCAAATCTTCCTCATCTCCCGACAGAAAGACAAGCGTGAAGGTGGTGAAGGTGGTGTTTGCTGATGGAAGGGAGGGGACAGGGGACGGGGGACGGGGGCCGCCCGGCTGCCCTGACGAAAGGCGTCATCCGTCCACAGGCTGTGCAGCTTGGTTATGTTTGTCGTTTCATAATTTCGGTTACAAAGTTATACAGCTAAAAGAAGTGACTGAAAACAAGGCAATGCGGGAGGAGGGGGGGGGGTGTACAGTGCATGACGGGAGGGAGGGGCTTCACGACGTCGCCGCTGCCTTCTCCTGTTCAATGGCTGCAGGGGGAGAAGAGAAGAGAGGAGAGGAAAGATGTGAGATAAAATTACACAGTAAAGCTGCATTTTCTGTAGAAGTGTTGGTTAACGGCACAGAAACAGTTAAGAAATGTGATGTAATGCATCACACACACACACTTACTTTCTTTTGAAGGCAGGGGATTCTTCTCCTGCGTCTCTGTCTTCTTCAGCTTGGTCTTGTCGAAGCTGGTCACCTCTGAGATATCAGGCTTGTCACTCATGGTTGCAGAGAGTCTGGAAGATGAGGAAGGAAGCAGACTGTCAGAGACCTGCAGTCCTCTGGTCACTGCACCACACCACTATTAATGTGCAAACTACAGGTGCTGGCCAGCTGTAATCTCCACACAGAAACAGCTGAGGAGAGAGATTCCTTAAAATATATATATCTAATGTATAATATGTATTCTGTTAAAAATGTTAGAGGTTTTTAAAAAAGGTAAAAAAAAAAAAAAAATAAAAAAAAACCCCCACCAGAGCATGCGGTCTACACTGACTATGGATCAGCCGAAGGGCGTTGCCTAAAATCTCAGTGGCCAGAAATCATTTGTCCAGTTTAACTACATGCGCAACCGCAGACTACTTTTCCCTCTAATGTGCGCGGATGTGTCCGCCTTCTTTTGTTCGCCCTGCGGCTCTTGCACGGCGTGATTTGACTGAACATCCAGCCCGTTATCCAACGCGCAATCCCGGGGATGCTGCACACAGAGGGGACAGGCTGCTCCAGACAATGAGGCCAGTTCAAGGCGTTCAAATCCGACATTTACATAACAATAGAAGTTCCCATGCTGGGCAGAGCAAGAAAAAAAATAAATAAAAAAACAAAGACTGCTGCTCATTTGCAAATTATCTTTAAAAAAAATAACACTATATGGTGAAAAAATGGTCATATTCTGGAGGTAAAGGAGGGATAATGAGTGTCCACTCAGGGGCTTTCCACATGGACGCTGTGCAACATCCGCATTCACTTGTCACGTACTTCTCCCCTTGGGGCGCAATCTGTAGGAACCACCGCCCAGATTTGGCATTTTGCTCACTCATCTTGGTCGTAAAAAATCCCCAAGTTCAACTCCGCAAATTTCAATTCACACTCCAAAAAAACAAAACAAAAACAAAAAACAAAAAAAAACATGTGCTCATGAGCTATTAAAAGCGCAATGGACACGTGAAGGCATCGTCTTAAATAATGGGACCAGACGCACGCAGCTCGAGCACAAACGGCAACAAAGGAAACAGGCTGATGTGCATGAATGTGTTGCGTTAGAGACAAAGACGAACCTCACATGTCTGCCTCTGATGTCACATCACACTCTTAAGCTTTTAGGACACAAAAAAACAAAAAAAAAAACAAGCTGCATCCACTGAAAAACCACATTATTTCATGTTTTGTCTTTGGTTGTCTATTTGGCACAAAAAACGCCCTGACCACATTTCTCACACTGATGTGACAGTTTCACTCTTTTAAAAGCTGCAGCCAGCGAAGCACAAAGAAGTGAAATGAGCTGGTGAACAGGTCTTACCGGAGCGTTGGCTGACGGGATGTCTGGAAGGTCTCTGGTCAGTGCGTTGCAGCAGTAGTGGCGCGTCTTTGCGCAAGCATCTGATATAGTCAGAAATATGCTAATGACTCTGACATCACCGGCTCTCCTCCATCCTCCTGTGTCCCCCTGCTGGAGAGGCACGGAACCTCCACCCTCATGCCTCTGAGAGCAAAGACTGAGGGCTTCAAGATTTCATGTTATCATTTCCCAGAGGAGAGAAATGGAAATATAAGGATTTATTGTGCGTTTTACTGTAAGCCACGTGGCGCTGAAGGCTCCACTCCATCTCTTATTTTATCTCTCTTACACATCAAGAGCCTCTACACTTCTGTTTAGCGTCAACACAGCTGCTTTACTTCAAATGTACCCTTAGATTGCCCTGCATTCTGTTGAAAATAACTTATCTTGTGACTTAAATTGCTCAAAACGTGTCCTTTCTCGTTGCTTTCATCTGTCTGTGGCTGCACATTCATGCAGAGAGGGCGCCTCCTGGTGGCAGTTTCACATTCATGATCCCTGAATGCACCACTCCTCTCATTTTTCCAGCAGATGCAAGGCCAGTCAGTGTTTCTATTGTTTTCTAATAATAGATGAGGTGCGATTGAAGGTGGAGATGGAGATAGTCTCAAAAGCTCTCTGTACAGTTGGATGGGTCTGACTCATCCAGAGAGAAATCTGAACTTCTGACAAATTTGTATTTATTTTTTGGACTTTTATCTTTTGTTTGTGACATATTGGATTTTATTTTATTTTATTTTATCTTATCTCTGAGTCTCTGTTAAATCATCTGTGAAGGTTTAGAAGGGAAGTCTCATGGTAAAGCTGCAAACAACTCAGACACATGAGGATGAGACAAGGGGTCCAAAGAGATGCTCCTTTTTATTCCTAAAGAGTCACAATCTTTCTACATTTTTAATGTAAAATTTACAAAGTAACCAGCAACTCCAGCTGTTGGATAAATATGGAAATAATATGCAATTTTTATTGTAGCGGCACAATATGGAAATATTCAAATACAAGTACCTGATAATGATTTAAATACAGCACTTGAATATAAACATTTAGTAAATTTTCCCATCACTGCAATTCATCAAACTATTTAACAAAACACATTTCAACATCTCAAAGGACTTATTAATGGTATGAAACAAATAATTATTTGCGTTAAAGGTTCACTTACTGGAATTTTCCCTGAACTTTCAACCACATCTATTTTGTTTTGTTTTTATCGTGAACCATTGAGATCAGATTCATTAATGCGAGTTAAATCAGGGGCTGATGATGTCATAATGATGCCATCTGCGATATCTCAGCTTGGGCTCGCGCATGTGCAGAGAGGCTATTGAGTTGCATTATGGGAGGTGTAGGATACAGCCTTTTTTGAGCCACAAAGGACTAAAAATAAGGATATGTCACCCTCCACTGCTTCAATCTCACATTTCAATTAAGACATCTAATACTAAATTGCTGTAATGTCCCTTTAAATACACAAAGACAAGCAGGGCAGTGTGTTCGTAAGCCATTGTCAAAGCTTTATTGTCAAAGAAACAGCTTGAAGTGTTACATATAAAAAAAAAAAAAAAAAATTAAATCATGCCTTTTCACCAACTTTTTGTCCACCTACAGGCAAACAGTGAAACCTGCCTCATCACCCACTACAGCTGTGACAATTACACTATTCTGACAAATCATGGTTGAACTCCTAATACTATAACCAAGCTTTGGGCTCAATTATTTATCATGACCTTTTGGAAAATGGGCAATGCACCCAAAAACACCTTGCATCGACGACAGACAAGACCGGAAAGTTGTGGTTCAACTTTATATATTTTAAGCAGAATTAAAAGGTATTGAACAGGAAGGATGTTATACAGATGTGCCACCACTGGGTGACAGCAGAAGATGCGACAGCACATTTGGTACACCTCACTAAAAAAAAAAGACAGATCTAAAACTGAGTGAATCAAGTGTGTTCATCCTCTAATTTTACTCTTTTATTTTTGTCTGTGGTCACATCAACACAATTTGACTTGAGGTGCAAGTCCTGTTATGGACCTTATGATAGCGTTAAGCATAAACTATTATTACAATCAAAGTCCATAGAGCTTTAGCTAGTTAAGGGTTAGGCAATAACTATTTTTAATACTTTTAGCAGCTGTTAAAGCAAACACTTGGGGGGGAGGGAGGTGCACATTTTCACATTTTTCACTACTTTTATTACTTTGCGAAGCAGAAAGGGCCAAAATATTTGAAAATCACACAACAGGGTGGAATGCCTCTTTTAAAGTGAGGTTCAAATAATACATAATATTACATAATGGACCCTTTGGTTAAAGTGAAGGCCTGGCCTCTGCTAGAGACTGAAATCGAAACAAGAGAAAAAATAAACAGAGAGAGAAAAAGAAGGTAGTCATAAATACAAACTTGGTCTTCAGAGAAGCAAGTGATATTTCGCTGTCTCCTGGGTGAAAATGTCAAAGAAAATGTGCGTGTGTGCGTGTGTGTGTGTATGTGTGTATGTGTTTGTGGGGGGGTGTGACCGTTATACAGCCACATGTGGTTGGCCAGAAATCATCAGGCATTTTTTGAGCCTTTTCTGGAGAATATGTGGCCAAAAGTGCCGGCTGAGCGGCCTGACCGGGGAGAGGGCTCGGGGAGTATGGTGGGGGGGGGGCAGAGAGGGCCAGGGGCCGTCACCCTCTCTCGTTATTTACAAGGGTACGTGGCTGAAGAGGTAAGACACTGACTCGCCGTTGTGGGTTCTTCTGATCGCCTCCGCAAGGATCATGGAGATGTCAATGACCTGGAGGAGACAATGAAGGCGTCATGTGGGGGAAAAGAAAAAGTTTCTCCATAATGTGATTTCTGTCCACTGTCACATGTCTCCTGGAAACGAGACCCCTCTTACAAATATTTTGAGGAAGTTATTCATGAACTGAACACAGAGACAAAGGAAGGAGGGTGTCATGTGCTGTACAGAAGTATAAGATGTATAAATAAACAGATTTGCTGCCACTTCTATGAAAGAGGAACAGCAGCATTTTCTACCAGATAAACATCTGAAGACACAGTAGATAATGTGTTTCAGATATTAATGTCAGACCAAAATAAATACCTCGCGCTGCTCAAGTCTTGGTAGGGCCTTATAAAAGGAAAGAAAAGCATTCCACATATTCCAGGGCAGAAAGTGATTGTGCGTGTTTACCTGTATTTTCGGGCACGCCTTCATCTTCTCTTCCTGTGGGATGGTGTTGGTCACCACCACGGCCTCGAACGGGGCGTTGTTGATGCGAGAGATGGCCGGACCGGAGAAAATACCGTGTGTGAGGATGGCGTAGACCTTAATCGCTCCCGCATCGATGAGCCTGAAAGTTAAAAACACATTTCAGGTGATTTGAGATGAATTTCTTCCACTACTACGCGGAAATAAAAGCACTTAAATGATACCGACTTGTCAGCGGCGTGGCAGATGGTGCCGCAGGTGTCGGCCATGTCATCCACCAGGATGGCCACACGGTCCTTGACGTCACCCACCAGCACCATGCGGTCCACTTCGTTGGCCTTCTTCCTCTCTTTGTGGATGAGGGCGAATTCCACGTTCAGACGGTCGGCGATGGACGTCACGCTGGAAAGATGACAGGAAGGAGGCAATGAGGGCGAGTGAGACCGAACCTTTATTTCTCAATCAAACCAGTTGATTAATCATTGTCATCTTCAGGGAGTGCAGAGAACTGCATCAAACTGAGCAGATCAAAACAAACTTCTGCACGTCTCAGAATTGAATTAGAGGCTTTAAACAGGAGTCGTAATGCACACAAACTGTCTACAACTCATTCAGATTACAATATGCAAGACAGCAATCTACCCTGCAATAAGAATGTAGTGCTATTTAACCAGTTATATCTTTGATGCTTGTGAAACGCCGTTGGGTATCAGCGATCTTACCGTTTTGCTCCGCCGGCGTCTGGAGACACGATAATACAGTTTTTCCACTCAGGAATGTTTTCTCTGATCCACTGCAGAACAGCAGGCTCTGCGTACAGGTTGTCTACAGCGATGTCGAAGAAACCCTTAAAGAAAAAAAAGAAAGTTGAAACAAAAGACAGCCCAGAAAACAGAGGCACAGACGTTACTGTATTCAATGTACTGCAATGTAAAGAGCAACTCGGAACTAAAACCACTTTTAGAGTTATTTTCCTCTGTCCTCTACACCACACACACACCTAAACTATCTGCGATTCAATGCTCGACCTCTTATTTCTCCTATCTGCATCATGTCCATGTGCACAAGTAAGACAATAAACAAAACGGGGACCCACACATAACAATAACACTACTAGTGGCTGTAACCACATGCCAAGATCTTCTTTACCCATTCACACAGAGTTGTGTAATTTGGTGTAACACTGTGTACTGACCTGGATCTGTGAGGCGTGGAGGTCCATGGTGATGATGTGGTCGGCGCCAGCCACAGACAACATGTTTGCCACCAGCTTGGCTGATATGGGTGCTCGACTCTGGGACAAGCATCAAGACACAGTCGCTTGAGGTGAGTGAGTAAGAAGAAAATATCAAAAATACTGTTCACCCGGGGTTTTTTTCGATTTTTTTTTTTTTTCGATTTTTTTTTTTTTTTTTAAATGCAATGTCGGGAATTCATTGTTATTAAAATCATTTTCTGAGAATCCGCAATGCCTTTCAAAGAATAACTCACTCAAAGTCGCTCATGGTCTCTTGATTGGTCTGCATTTGACATCAAGTGGTTTTCAGCCCGCCTGCTCTCCTCTGCAGGAATTGTCTTTTGAATATTTTTGAAACAAATCTGGAGCTACTATAAAAACATCGTCCTTGTGTCGCCCAATATTTGGGTTTCAATTAACTAGTGGTTCCTGTATCAACACATGGTTGGAGGTATTAGTTGTGAGTGCTGATTTGAACTCTCACAAATTAGACTCCTGGCTTTACATCTGAACTTCAAGGACTCGAGGCTGTTGGGCCAAACTTCACCTATGACCTTTCCATTGTGGTGCCTTACTCTAAAAAAAATGTAGGCCCTGCCGCCGCCCCGGGCTTGTTCTGTTTAGCTGATGTGTTCACTCTAGAAAGAAAAGCCAACAACCGCGTAGATGGACGCGTCACGCCAGGCGCTTCGGGGCCTGTTGACAAAACACTCGTCTACCTGGAAATGATGTGAGAGCTGTGTTTGTGTGAGCGCTCAGAGAAAAGGCAGAGTTTGGAGATTCAGGCCGACTCGATGTTTAAGACCACGGGATAAACTGAAGACCTGAGTCTGACGAGTTGGAGAGATAATCAAGACATTATATAACATTTCACAATTAGTTGAACTGTCCATTTGTAACAACTTTTTGCTGGGTATAATGTGCAACGCTGCTCTTACTATTTCAACAAATATGTTTTTTTTACTCTTCATCTTGCGATTTCCCACATCCATAAAAAAACTGTCAGTTTTGTGAAAATTAAACTGAAGTCTGTAAAGCGGCACGTTTTACCAAGTGAAATCTGCCCCTGAAGTCAACATGTGGATGACGTAAGCCCAAGTGTTTGCAGAGCTTTGTGTGAGGGTCACACGTTACACCCTCATGTGAGTAAAAAGAGACACTTCTTTGGAACGTACTGAACTGCATGTACAGGCAGAGTGGAAGAGAGGAGGGGGGGGGAGAGAGAGTTGATAATAATTCACAGGAAAACTCTCTCTTTCTCCTTGTGTGTGAACAAGAGCTTTCCTTTCACTTCATGCGGACCTGATTTCCTGCTGCAGTTACATTAACAACTGAGGCGACGTGAGATAATGATTTACAAGATAAGCAGGCCGCGTGAACCAGTTTCTCAGCCCGCTGGAATGTCTGATGTGTCCATTTCAGATTTTCCGAGCGCGGCAAACGGCTCAAATTGCACACGGGAGTGCCGCAGTAAAGCTGATGTGGAGTTTCTCATTAATACATGACTGCGAAATAAGTTAACATGTCAACCTGCACTGCTGGAGGGAAATAATAACATTCAGCATTCATTAAAAAGGCGAAGCTGCGGTGACCTGTTTTGTCAGATTTACGACTTCTTGGAAGTTCAGGTCAACAAAATCAGAAAAGGATGCGGCTAATCAGACTAGCAAACATCCAGCAAACAGCACAGCTAGATTTAGGACTGATAATCTGTGTGTAAGTGTGTGAATCTACCTTGTCCTTCTTGTCCTGCCGGGCGTAGGGGAAGCAGGGGATGACGGCGGTGACGCGGGACGAGGAGGCGATCTTGCAGGCGTTGATCATGATGAGCAGCTCCATCAGGTTGTCGTTAATTTCGCCGCAGCCGCTCTGCACGATGTACACGTCCTCGCCTCGGACACTTTCCCCGATTTCCACGCTGTTGAAAGACACAAGTGGAGGAAGAAGGACACGTTTTATTCCAGGGACAGTGTCAGCTGTAGGGTTAAAAAAAATAAAAATAAATCAAGATTGGAAATGTTAAAGTGATATGAATGTTTTAAATGTGGATTTTGAATCCACAGGAAAACAACAACAACATCCTCAACTCCTCATTTACAAGTACCGACATGAAACGATTCTTTCCAGAATTAAACGTCATACACTTTATTATCAGCATCAAAAACACATCTATGAGCAGAGAGTGTTCATCCACTCAGTCTCACTCAAACCCTGTATAATCAAGGTTCAGTATAACAGATCAGCCTTGAATGTTTAACTGATATGGGCCGAGTCCCTGCGCTGATCCGAGGATGTTTGGAAACGCTCACATACTCTCACTCGTGTACAGTGTGAACCTGCCGGAGACACCGAACCCAGACCAGGCAGCATGTGTGTGAAACATTCCTCTGTGGGAGACGACCAGGTCCATCCCGGCCTCGGGCATGTGATCAACCAACACATACAGCTGTTCAGGGTGAGAGCCGGTCCGCACAGACAGTCACGTGAGTTTTTTTTTTTTTTTTTTTTTTTTTTTTTTTTTTTTTTTTTTTTTTTTTTTTTTTTTTTGAAAGGAGGGGTCAGCACTGAGAAATCAGTCTGAACCCTCCTGTAATGGTCGCAAACCGATGCAGCATTATTATTATTATTACTAACAGATCATCGCAGAAAAACCCAAAACCATCTGATGAACTCGAGGGGAAACAGTTCGTTTTCACTGGGACCACAGCCATAACCGAAAACAATCTGCAACAGCAGCAACGCAGCTGGCAGTTGAAATGTTTGGATACTGGTGCCAACACAACACCGCCGCTTCAGTAGATAGCAAAACTATACTTTTTCCAATATAACATGCTTTTCTACAAAACTCTTTACTCATTTATTAAAAGAAGCCAACAAGTTCTAAATAATTAAGTTCTAAACACAAACAGCTGACAAGAAGTCTGCCTGAATAAAATCTGTCCAAAAAAAGTGGCTACCTTTAGACTGAATTCAGGAACTATCTCATGAAAGAACAAGTCAACAAGATTACTAAGCTAAACGATGCCAACTTTCTCTGAGCTGTGGACACAGCTTGGCCTGTTCCCAAAAAGAATAAAAAATACAGGTGCAATACCCAGCTGCTAGAATTTTGATTCATCTACAGGAAATTAATCTGCAACTGAAAAAATGTTCAGGAGACTCATTGGTCGTGAAAATAACAGTTAATTGTAGCTGTATTTTAGTCACAGATTGAATGACACCTTTACAGTCTGCTGATGACAACAAATATTTCCTTCCAGTGCAAATCTCAGGTCTGCATTTCCTTCCTTTGCACTGTCCTGATACGTTTAACACATCTATACAGGAGCTGATTAAAACTTCTGTTTTGACAGAAACAGTGAGCCGACCTTATGTACACGCATTAAGGAAAGACGGCCACCACCGCCACCTTGAACAAAACATTTCCTGCCACAGGTGCTAAAATTAAACTGCAGTCAAGGTGACAAAACGGGATGCAAAAAGCAACTATACATGCAAAACACAGTGACATACATTAGGAGGAATTATGTCCTGACACCAAGCAGCTCACTGTCAATAAAATCTTTATTTGGATATTCCTCCTTGCGCAAAACAAAAAGTATTTTATTCCCAGGAATCCACTCTGCTTCGGCATGTGACCTCTGCAGGACATCTGACAAAGCCTGTATTGGAGCTATGAGAAGAGCTGCTATCAGTGTACTCTTCTCACCTCCCTGTTAGTGTGCAAGGATGAGAAAATAATTGTTTTGCACGTTGTGTCGCCCAAACAGCTGCAGTTCCCGAGAGAGAAACCTCGGCGGTGATAATCAGAGTTTTCACTGGATTTTAAGAGTTGTGGGTGGAAACATCACCAGCAGAGAGGGTCTTATAAAGAGATAAAGATGCCACGGCACCTGTTAAATCCAGGAAAACAACAGTGTTGGAATGCAATGGGAAGATTACAACACGACCTACGCAGTTTGGTGGATGCAGGATGCTTTTACCCAGAGTGCATTACAGTACATTGAGAGCATCAGTGAGTGAATCCAGTGGGAATGAAATCCAACTTTGACAATGTTAAAGCTGTGCTCACTGCATCACAAAGCACATTAATGCAGAGCATGGTTTTCCTATTACTGGATCAGACAGAATAAAATACACTTGATAAGATAAGATGGCTGGCAAGCTGAATGGCCAGATCCTCAGCCACAATTACATTCAAACAGAGTTCAGCAAATAGGCCAGCATGAATCCAAAAGGTCATCCTGCAGGAGGCTTCAAATCAGCAACAAAGAAAGTCAAAGTAATAAAAGTCCTTTGAATTGCTATTGTTAAATGAGGCTAGCTGCTAGCCTGCAGACACTGATTGGTCAACTTGGCTGCTCTGGAAATATGCACAAATCAAGTGCATGTGATTTAAGCATTGGACAGTTAACTAGCTTCCCTTGCAAAACAGGCAGTAATGAGAGCTAAACTTTATTCTAGTTTTACCAGAGGGCTTGTGCAAATTGTCATATTAGAGACAGTACTTGACATTTAATACCCCTGAGGAACTGCAAGCACTGTGGTTGTTTATATTGTGCAGTCCAACCCTGTTTGGTGTTAGTAATTGCAGTGAGATACGTTCTCGTCTGTGGTTAGCCAGTTAACGTAAATCCACGTCTAATGACAGTAAGCTAGATAGCACCCATTATCGGACAACCTAAAAACTTTGTTTACTGTGCTTATTTTCCGTATAAATTGGATAATATATGCATCTAAACTACAGTGTTCAATCAGCTGTGCCAAAATCTGTATGAATTAAGTAATATCCACAGGTTTTCCTGGACGTACCCAGCTAACAGTAGCCACCTAGCTAGGTGCAAGCATAAAGGTGTTACGTCAAATTCTGTATGCCAGTAACAATCTGTTCCAACTTCAAAATTAGAAACTTCATCGCTCATATTGAAGAGTTTAACAGGATCACAGAGAAGCAGCGATCCAGTTTTCATACATAGGGTTGTTCCAGATAGTGAAGACGAAGAAGAATAGGCTTCAGGAAGACTTTGGGCTTAGGGAAGACACAAGTACAAATTTTGCCCTCCTCCATATTCACTCATGACACAGGAAACAGACGTAGTTTAACGTTAGCTTCGTTAGCATGACACGCAACCACATATAACGTTACATTTTACAACTTCGCTGTTTCTGTCAGGCTGGTTTACTTTAACGACTTCAAAGTTAAGCAGATTCTCTGATAGAAAACTCAACGAAAAAGCTGTCCGATATTGGACACACCGAATTTAGCTAGCTACAAGTGTGCTAGCCTGGTGTGTTTACATGTGGCTAGCTAGTCACGTGTAGTTAACTATTGTTAGCTTCGAGCTAGCATACCCACATGGGGGCCAGCGAAGCAGAAGCAACATGGGCTTCACCAGCAAAAACATGCATCTCATGCGTCGTATACAAAATTAAAAGTCTACTCACCATGTCTCCTGGTTGCTGAATTTCTTCGTTATCACTTTGCCGAGCTCCAGCCCCAGCCGATCAGCTACTTTCTGAGACAGGTCGTGGTGAGAGCTCCCGCTAAAAAGCACGATGTTAGGCATGTCCGAAAACCTGGTGCAGTTTGCTCAACAAAAGAAAAGAAGACTGAAAAAAAGAATAAGACGAGTATCCCCACTTAAGGGTTACAAAAAATGGAAAATGAGGTTGCTAATGTTGCAGCCTGAGCATTGCACTGGTGCAGCAGTTGGGACCGTCGGCAGAGAGGAAATATCAGGTCAGTATTTGCATGGTAAAAGGGAAGTGCCCTCTCCTCATTGGACAGTGTAGTAGTCCCACTGACACATGTACACTTACAACAAAAAAGGCCGATTTCCAACATTTTTTTTAAAGACTATTTGAAATGATGCTCTATGTTCTATTATATTTAGATTTTTTTTTAAAGCACTCGTTTCCTTTAATACTATATGATCATCTTACCAAAATAAAAAGTCCCATTTGTTAGGCTGCCAGGATGTAAGCTTGTGAAAACCCTCCAAAGTAATTGTTTATTAAATATTCCTATTCATTTCTAATTATCTAACTATTATTAATCACAAGAGGAACAGAAATATATTAATTTCCTTTTTAAATCCGCCCATTAATTAAATAATGCATTCAATAAAACCTTTTCTCATATTTTATATTTATGTAACCCTGTGCATCTGATGCCTACATCCTCTGTTTATTTTATCCTTTGCTTGTAATTATTCTTTTATGAACTATTAATGATTCTCTTCAGCCAGCAGTACTTGCATGTGATCAATACTTTTTGATCAAAAAAGCCTGTTTCCATCCTCTTTTAAGATATTTTTCTGCTGGTTCTCTGTAATAATAAACTGAATATCTAGACAGTTTCAACCAGGGCTCTTGGAAATAATAAAGGGAATTTATTACCATTTAGTGACATTTTAAAAACCAAACATTGATCCAATAATGAAAAGTTCTTTTTTTGCCTTTAGTTTTGAAACTCATCACAGAAAATTTCACTGCACTCTTGCAGCCAGAGAAATCAATCAAATAAGCTCAACTCATACAGAAAAACAAAGGAGGTCGCCTGATAGCTGCTGCTTTGGACCTTGCCTTCAATCCAGCGTGCACACTTGTGATACCGGGTCTCGTAATTAGATTTCCCACTCAGAGAGAAGTCAGCTGAGACTTTGTGCTCCTCATATGTCTCCTCAAACCAAAGACCTGCCTTCTTCACTCTGGTGACATACTTTATATCATCATTACTGTCATGTGCTGGGCAGCTAATTTACTCAAACTTGAGGAATTAGAATGGTAGAGATTCTGGAAATAGCCAATAAGAAATGTGGATGGTTTCCCAGCTGTCTGGTCTTTTTAAAATACATTTCAGGAATTCCACTACAACCAGTGCTATTGATTATTTACACTTGGACTGTGCTAACATGGACTTTGAGTAATCATTTCACTGAGTTGATAAAAGCAGAAAGACGCCAAACGGGGACACTAAAGAAAAGCTTCCTCAGGCCTTCTGTCATCTGATAATCTGACTCGTATGATATGAAAATTCCTGAAATGGCACCAAAAGTTCCCCAATCTTGACCTTTTTTAACCCCTGAACAGCTTTTATGTACATTAATTTCATGCAAAAAAAGCCAATACAACCACAGATGCTTGTATTTTTCAGAAATATATTTTATAGATGATGTCAGAGATGAAATGTCCAAAGCGTAGGTCCCAAAGAAAGATAACATTTTTCATCAATAGAGACAAACAACAAACAAAAAATAACTTTTTAATCCATTTACATGTAAACCAAGAATTGCTCTTGAGCCACAGTGGTTATATATATAGAGAACTGGCCGAGGTGGGTGTGACAATCAAACGACGATGCCCTTTTTTTCCAAACCTTCTCTCAACTGATATCCGTCATTTCTCTACCGTTAATAGTGCCCGTTTAAAAAACCTTTTGAAAGAGGAACATTCTTTGGGAGAGTCTTTTTTAAGGTGTGAATGTAGCAGAGGTTTGGCAGAGCACATTCTCTTAAACACAGTCCATACATGTTGTTAAGTGCTGAATCTTGTTAAAATCACTTATTGGAAACGATATTCAATAAGAACAATATCAAATGTTTCTCAGTGGAGTCATTTGGACAAAAGTCTTTTGAATTGTTTGAACACCAGAGAGGAAGAAAACCGTCCCGCCTGGTGCTCTTGGGGGAGTTGCTTTGGGAGGTTTTGCTTTTTAAGTCCTCCAGTGTTCTTCTTCTATTGTGCAAATACATTTTTATTACATAGACAAGCAGGCATGCTGACTCACAAACCATGCAAAGAGTTAAAGTTGGCGCGAGCAGACAGCAAAAAAGAAAAAGTAGTATTAAAGTTTCTACAAAAAACCTCAAATTCATCTTAAATAAAAAAAAATGTTAGGCCAAATTAAACAAGTAACAAGTGGAATGTTTTGTTAGAACATGAAAAAATATCAACTTAATCTCAAATTTTACAAGTTTATAAAATGATATCAACTTAAAATAATCATGATAGTCGTCTTTAATCAGGTGTTTAACAAAGCAGTTGACAAATGGGGGTTATTATTTGAATGTAATTTCTACTAGTAGTGTCAGGTTGGTTGTATTCAAGCAGGAAAAGGGAAGAGGAAGAAACTGATGTTATGGACAGTCGAACGTGACAGTGCAACGCATGCTCAGAGAGAGATTGTTAAAATTATCGGTTAATGTTTTCCATCCAAAACTGGTTACAATTCCGCTTTTCTTGACATCCGTGTCTCCGTCTTTTCTTTTCCCGCCGAGGAAAACTTAGCTACATAAAACGGCCTCTAAACCTCTTTTTTTTTTTTCTTGGGATGTGTGATGTTGTCACAGTCGAAAGGTTAAGTGCATATCGCCCATGCACAAGAGGAAAAATGTATCGATTAGGCAACAAAGTGATCAAATGTCTTACTCTGAAGGTTGTTAAAAAGTCAATTGCAGTGCCATATAATGACCACGGTTCAGTTAAGGGCAACAGTGCAGTTGATGACGAGTTAAATATGCTGCTTTTTTTAAGTTCATGGAGTAATATCATACACCATACTGCTTTTCGCTCACAATATCATAGCTGTCATTAGTTAGAGTACATTTATAAATTTTCCATATACAAATCTCCTATAAACAGTACATGTTATAAATACACAAGTGATGAAAATGCAGAAGGGCTTAGAGAGCCGTAGAAAGAAAGAAAGAAAGGAAGGAAGTGTTGCTCCTTATTTTTGATAAATACAAGAAAGAAAGAAAGAAAGAAAGTTTCTGAACAAGAGGTGACAATAGTACTAATTATGTGAATGGCAGCCCTATAACTATCCAGAAAACGGATAAAAACACAGAACAAAATCTATGGATGAAAAAAGTTAGAAAAATAATCTTGTACAATAAAAAATAAAAAGTGGACACGCTTACCAAACACATTTTTGATATTGTAAATCGACAACTTGATGTGGAAATCATACATGTAGATACAAACAGGCAATACTCCATTACTGCCTCTCAAAATATATTCAATTCAATATACATGACTAATGTTTAGCTCACACCAGTAACCAAGGTAGTTGCCAACCGGCAAAGCATGGGAGGTCGATCAGCACAGGTAAAGAAATGCTCACTTGATCTGTGAAGGATTAAATTAGTAAACATTGAACTGGGTACTGGGAGCCTTATCTGAAAAGGGCCAATACGAGAAATGTTTGTCGACTTGCCAGCTAAGTGGAGTGAAAGTACTACTGTATATGCAAACTCATGCTTTGGCTTTTCTTGCTTGGCTTTCTCTTTTGGATAACATTCAAAAATCTTGCAGAAATGTCCGGTCTCTCTGCTCAAACGCATGCTTTATGTGTTTTACAAAGCAATGATTTCGGTTAAAGGGAAGCTACATTAAAGGCTAAACCTTTTTGACAGTGTTCAATCTAATTTCCTTGTTTGAAGGTCTCCATGTTTGCACCTTTTTCTACTGAAGCTGGCAACTACCTTTACAAAGCGTTTACTTTTTTTTTTTTTTTTTTTACAGAAAAATAGATCCATCCAAAAGTAAAGTAACTCTTCAAGAGAGGCTGTGAGAGACATAAATGTTGTCTTCATCACGATCCAAGTAAACATGCTGAAAGATTGTTTGCTTTATTTTTGTCGTTCTCGTCCCCGAAAGGACTTGAAACTCTCCGTCTCCCGCCCTCACACCGCTTCCTCAGCGAGAAAAATCTTTTAACTTAAGGCAATCTTTTCCTGAACAATCCTGAAATCCAGCGGACCCTCCCCAAGGCACTCCTCTCACTCGTCAACCCTCAACGACAGGCTGGTCCAGCAAGGTGACAGTCTCACCATCAAATCTTTGTAAGAGCCTACTCAAACTTCGGCCGACCAAAGTCCACAGTGAATGCATCTTGTAAAATATTATCTCAGTTGCCGCGATGCCCTTATTTTGTCGGGAAAAATAGTTGAGAAAAGAGAAAAGAAAATCCCCGAGCTGCGTTCGACAGCTCGGGACGTCTGCTGTCCCTGGTGTCCATACTGTGTGTGGTCAGAGGGCAGCTGTGTAAAGCACCGTATGTTTCTGCAGAGGTGTTATCACACCTTTCTAAGGTGAGACCTGATCTCGCCCCCGCTGCAAATACACCCGCCCGCTGCCTTGGTCACTCAGTTAGCCGCTGTGCGCTAACGTGGGGGTGCGAAGACTGACAGAAAAAAATGAGTGTCTCTGAGCGAGTGCCGCCAAAGCAGCGCTGTTATGTTTAATATGTTTTTTTTCCCAATTCAGTCCTCTGTCTCCTGATTGGCTCCCTACTCTGAGGCTGAGCCCACCCCCTCTCCCTCATTTTGGCTGAGGGGCCGCCAATCAAGGTGACTGACGTGGTGAGTGGGGTTAGGGGGACTAAATGAAGGGATCAGTCGTGACTCTTCGCAGCTCAAAGAGGCGTTCTCCGGAGAGGTCAATAGTAACAGTGTGACACCCTCGTTTCCCGCCGTTACAGTGGTTCCTCCTCCTCCATTGGCTCTTCCTCCGGCCTGGCGAGAAAATAAACAAGACATATGAACAGATATGAAACCTCGGGCTAGCCAACACACCTCCTACCAAACCACCTGTAAATTGGCATCTTGCACTGCAGCTATACTTTACATGCAGATAACCTCCTGACCTTCATGGACTTAGGACTCACAACCCGCTTTCTGTTTGTCGAGCATGTACACTAACTCAGATATATTCTCTCTTCTTCACCTCTCACACACTTTTT